AAAGAGGACTCGCAGCTGGCTGCTTTTTTTTCCACAGACTTTAGTTGGTGATATTGCTTAGTCTAAGGTTAGGGTTTAATTAATTGCTGGAAAGGCAAGCAGACTATTTAGCTAAAGTAAGTAAATCATGTTGGTCTGGAATATCAGCATCCTAATTGGAAATTAGTGTATCGTATCGGTGTATTGTGCAGAAAACCACATAATGCGTAGTACAAGTGGCCCTTGAAACCTAACACCAAAACAAAAAAAAAGGCAAGCAGGATTTTGTGGTTGTGTAGCAAATAATCTTTGAGCAAAATGTAACTTTGAGCTTGAAATAATGATAATCTTTTATAATTGGAAATCACTTAAAATTCCTGATGGCTGACTAAATTCCATCCATGGAAATCAGTTAAGCTGTTATGGCCTGTACCTTTTAAACAGGTGAAAGTGTTCCCATGTTGAACTAAATTATTTTTCATCTGTAGTAAATTGTTGCCTTTCAGTTCTTTTGTCCCCAAAAGTGGTCATGCCCGCATTTAATGTTAAATTACCAGAGACAATAAAAATTAAATGTAAACAGTCTATGAGGCCTCTCTAAGATAGATGCAATTGCTTTATGAATCACCAAGCAGGAACTCTCTGGACCTGGGTGGTTACTACTTCATTGGATACTACTCTTGTTTGTAAAGCAGGGTTGCTCAAACTCTAGCCTAGGAGGAGATTGCATAAATTCGCTGTTGCTCAGGGAATGTCTGTTCAAAACACAAATTACAGCGTATCATCACTCACCCAGGTTTTTATTGGTGCCCCTGAAGCTCTCAGTGAAGCTGCGAGACAAATTGCATCTCAGGAATTTACTGTGGTTTTCTAAATATTTATTACCATTCTGTTCTCTGCCTGAGGTAGGGAAGAAGGGTTGTGGCAAGCTCTGGGCGAGGGGAGCACTGGGTTGCACAGGCAGCTATGCTGGGGATTTGCTTGCAAAATGTCCTCTTTATTTCAGGTAGTGACAAAGATGCGTTAGGTGCCGTTGTATGCCCGTGTCCCATACTACAGTGTGACCAGGGGCCAGACTGATCACTGCCTTTGAGGCCATCCTGAACCTGTGGTGGTGCAGCTGTGGCTGATGTTGAGAGCATGGAAGGAAAAAGGTTTCAGCAAGTTGCTGGCCTTTAGCACTGGGTTTAAGACTAACATTCAGCAGTGTTGGATATCATTCTGGTAAAAGGGGGCTGCTCAAAAACTGCCACTGCTGCTCTCCACTTCCACAGATGTTTTCTTTTCATGCTCTTTCTGTCTAAGTCCTGTGAATGTTAAACCCTTGGCAGCTGAGGACCAGATACTGCCTTGGTCAAGGTCAGACCATTCAATCAAATCATTGCAGAGTCTCAGCATTGGTACCCTCTGCTCCTGTGTTGTGGTTTATACAAAAAAGAATTATCTTTATCCCAGCTGAAACTACGGCAGCCTGTCTCCAGCTTTACCACCAAGCATTGACTTAGGAAGATTGTAGTCTAACTTGTATTAATCTGTATTTCTATCTGAGACAGATGGAAAAACAGTATAGGGGAGCTATATGTATTTCAGGTATATGTTTTGGGCTTAGCGAGTTGCAGTCTGTCTTGGGAAGTGGGAATACAGTTTCTTTTAGTCACACTTGCAGCCACATTTTTCTACAGATTTAGATGCCTGAGTAAGAATGACCTGCTACTTATTTAATTTTAGAAAAAATATTGTCAGTCTGTGCTTGCTAATGCTGGTGAGTCAGTGACTCATGATTCACAGGTGACCAGGGTACCAGAGCCTTGAGTGACTTCAAGGGGGAAGTTCAGTTTTCTGATGCCAGGGGGAGTTCAGTTTTCTTCAGGGTAGGTCACTTTATTTTACTAAGGGATCTTGTTTTCCAGCATCCAAGTACTGATTCTTTAGAACTTTTTTTTTCTCTTGCAATTGTTAAAATTACAGGTCTGAGGTTGTAATTCACCATTTCAGAGTTTTACTAGTGATGATGTTGGAAAACATAGGGTAAACAAGGTTTAGAAGGTATTTTTCAAGAAAAAAATTATAATCAAAGTAGTTTGGTGCTATAAAGGTACAAGTATTTGAATGCTGTCCATACTATACCAGTGAATTCTGGGTATCATTAGCCATAAAGCAATGAGTTTGCTGGAATAAGTTGTAGGGAGAATTCATTTTTCAGAACCAGTACCAAAATTTGTATATAAAGGAATCGTGAGGAATTAGGACCAAATTCTCACTGACAGAGCTCCACAGAGAGGGAAATAAACTGCATGATTTCTGAAGTTTGGCTGGAAGCAGTCTTGTTTTGATAACAGTTCTGTGTAGTAACTGGAGTGAGACATTCAGAGGTCAAAGGGAAAGCAGTTAGCATAAAATACCATTTCAACTGAGGTTTTTCATGGCGTAAACTGAGTTCCAGGGCTTACATCAGATGACCCATATAGCTTTCATCAAAGCATTTTATTTCCTCTTTGGCTTTCCATTTAATATTAACTCTGTCTCCGCTGCAGTTTCTTTTTTACCAGTGAGCAGAATCTAACTCCATCCAAGCTGAATCCCACCTGTTAGAAGATGTGCAGTGCCCGCTGTCTGCCAGGCTGCAGTACTGTTCCTATCTCGTGCAAGTGGTTGAAGGTGCATGCTAAAGAGGTTTTGAGTGCTTGATGCTAGTTTGAAAGGAACATGGCTGATGTTTTTATGCCCATTATTTTATTTTTTCTCGTTGGAACTACAAATAAGCAAATCAGGCTGACCAAAGAATAGGAGTGTGTCAGCACACAAAGGTGACCCCAAAACCTGCTCATTCCTGAGATACTTGCTGAAGGGCTGGCAGTGCTTCACGTTCTACCATTGCCTTCCTCTGTAGCACAGCTCATGCCACTTAATTTCTCTGTCCCCATTACCCCATCTGAGTACAGTCGTAGATGTATTTTACTGTCTCTTGGGTGCTCATGGTCTCAATTCCTAAATTAATTTTCCATAATGATTAATCAGCTTCATATTTACTTGGGAATGAACTGTAAGTGCAAGAGATGCTTGGCTGTGTAAATTTGTCTGAGGCAGTGACCTGTATCACTGGTGAAATCTGTCCCCAGACTGAGCCATTGAGCAGCCAGCTACTTCATACAACATAGATACACATGTACAATGTATACACAGGTACGTAGTAAAACCGATGTGGCGCTTAGGGACATGGATTAGTGGTGGGCTTGGTATTGCTAGGTTAATGGTTGGACTTGATGATCTTAAGGGTCTTTTCCAACCTAACTGATTGTATGATTGATTCTATGAGAGAACCAGTTTTGGGAACCTGAGCCTGACCTTTTTATGCTAATATGACCGTATTGATTATGTGGGGAGATGTGAACCTCTAAAAATTGCCAAGTGAGCAATATTAACATGTATCCGCAGAAGCATTAAAAAGTTGCTTGAGTTAAAGTGTGGAAGACCTCAATTTCAGGACTGTGGTTTACGAAATCCACTTTTGTTCTCCAGCAGTCTTCAAAGGAAGGTCACTGTTGTCATTTTGGTTTACTTAAGTGCAAGGAGATGGGAAAAGTTCTATGCTTAATTTGGTACTTCATGTGGTTTAGGTTTATTCTCCCCTCTTCTCTCCCCATGCCCTAAGCCACTTGCTGGATTCAAGGGTCATTTCCTGTTTGCAGAACTCCTATTGACATCAGTAGGAGTGTTGTGCAAACATTTGGAGCTTCAGTACAGCTTCACTTGTATATTTTTTCTTTTTTTTTTTTTTTTTTTTTTTTTTTGCCAGCCAGCTGAATAAGCACAACGATCCCTGCGATTGAATGATATGGTCTGTACTCACATGGGCAGTTATAAGATCTGGGATTCCCAAAAGGGAATCTGCCTGAAACACGGTGCCTTTCTGACACATTGCTGTCATAAGTCTTCTATTTCTAGACGTAGCTCTAGAAATGTAGCAGTCTTTGTCTCTGCTGGTAGCAACTGCCTAGAGGGAGATATATTTGCTTTGCAGTTTTCTGCAGGGCCAGTTTTGCAGAGGTACTGGTTGAGCCAGAAAACCCAAACTGATCTCCTCCTTGGTGCCTACCTTGTCATACCCTGTACATTTTTCAGTAAAAGGGAGGGATAGCAAGATGAACAAGAAAAACTAGCTATAAGGTATACATATGCTCCATTAATCCACATGATACTGTCCTGCCTCTGCATTGGCTGTGGGTTTATTGTGAGGAGTTGGTCCTGTACAATGAACTTTTGTGCTGTCTTAGCCATTTGTGCATAAGATATTGAGACACCAGTCTCCTTTGTCTGCTGTCAGCCTTGGAGGGAGATGTTATTTCTTAAACCACTTAGCTAAATTCTACTGAACTGGCTAAATTCCTTACGCTGAGGGCAGTGGGGTGCTGGAGTACGAATTCCCTTCCTGGAATTGGTCCTTGCACATGCTGTAGTACCTATTGCTGCTTCCACATGCATGTCTGATGGAATATTTATGCCCTGGGCAGCCACATTCAAGGTTTTATGGAACAAATCTTGTATTTCTGGTTCACCGAAACACCTTACAGGGCTGACTGCTCTCTGAAGAAGGCGAGATTTTGCCCAAGTTACTATCCTCTGCAGAATAGTGCCTAGACCTGTCCTTCCAGCATCTCTTCACACAACTTCAGCAGAAGGGACAGGCAAAGGCAGTGCTGTTACAGCTACGTGACACAGGGGGTACAACTGCTTCAAACACCTTGGTGACTTTCTGAAGGGTGACCAAAATCTGTATCAGCCTTGGGAAACAGACTATCGATGCCCTAATTGAGAGCTTTTAGTTGCCAAAAGACAAACCTTCCCCTCAGATTTCTGCTGTGCTTTAGTGCCTACTCGATTACTGGGGCAAATGCATTATGTTACCAAAAATGAACTTTCCCTGATCAAACGTATGCTTTTATTAGCCACGTTAATGCCAGCATGACTCTCTCATTGCTACAACATATTAAACACCTTGGAAATGTTTCCTTAAACTCTAGGTCAGTCTTATGAAATCCGTCTACTTGAGAATAGGAAATTGGGAGAGTTTCAAGATTTAAACACAAAATATGTAAAGGTAAGGAGAAATATAGATTTCTTTTCTTCCTGCTACTACATACAGCCTCTAATGAAGGGCCTGACCTTGCTCACACTGAGACAATGGAAAATAGTTTACTGTTGCTTTTAATGGGAGCAAGGCTGATGGAGTTGTTGAGTACTAGTTTCATGGGACTATGCAGCTTGGCTTTACAGGGCTTTAGGGGAAACTTTATTCTGCTTGTGATCAAGACCCCAGAGTTTCACTGTGAATATTAGGTTTGGGGAATCCCAAAGTTCAGAGGTGAACCTGGTCAAAACTGCTGAGAGGCAGACTTGCCTCCCTTCTTAACCCCAGCAACACGCCTGGGTTGTTACATGTCAGACGGAGGACCCCGGTGTTTACATTGTTCTGCCATGCAGATTCTGCATAGTTCCAGTTTACTTTGGTAATGGGCATAATTATGAACATATAGAACTTGATTGTTTGGTTTGGGGGATTATTTTTTGTTTGTTTGTTTCGCCCCTCCCAAAATAGTTCAAATTCAAAACCTTTGGTCCAGATCTTGTTTCTGGATCCAGCCTTCAAGCCTTCCTCTGCCCAGTTCTTGGCCGTTCTGCCTCAGGATTTCTTTTGCGACGTGGGGCTAGTTGCAAAATTTGGATTCCAATCTGGATTTCAGATGTTGTCTGAGTTTAGGCAGTTTTCTATTTGTCTTTTGGCCCATTTCAGGAAGCATGTGGATTGGGATTCCAATTTTGCAGGCGTTCCCACTGTGGCTGGCTTACTTCTTGGAGCTAGGGTTTGATTTGGGCTTTTCTCAGGTTGATTGGCAAAAATTGCTCACTCATTTGATATGAAAGTCCCCAGCAGGAGCACGGACTTGAGAAACTGGGATGTAAGGGGTCATTAACTCATCCAACTGTAGCACTGAATATACAAAACGATATATTAGTTAAGAGTACTTTGGACTTGTCTGCCCTGGGGATTGCCTTTATTCCAGCCTTTTTTGTCCAGTTATTGACATGGCTGTGCCATTGCAGGCCAGAGATGAAAAGTCTCCTGTTACAGAAGCTTTCCTATTTCACACTTGTTTAACTACACTGGGGCAAATCCAATGACTGGCTGTTAATGGCTGGAATCAAATTTAATTCCCACTGACAAGGTGTCTGGGCTTGTCAGCTCCACCGGTGCAGGGAAGGGTGAGCTGGCTTTCATGTTTGCTAATCAGAGTGGGATATACTGGGCTTGGGGCATGGTACAGACACATTAAGTATTTCCCCCAGGTGAGCCATTTTGGGTGTGGAGGCAGTATAGTGATGTTTACATGGTGTGACACCAAAGATTAGGTGGACATTGCTATAATGCTTCCAGACCTAATCCCAGAAAGCTGTACAGGGCTGCAGTATGCAGTGTAAACGTGCTCTGTGAAGGGGAAAGTGTGTTGCTCTTTCACTCTGAGGCCCCTTAGGAATTTGATAAACATGGTGATGGGTCTCTTAGGTGGACCCTCTACTCTCCTCATGAATGGGGGTGACAAATGTAACAGATCAGCTTTTTGTTCTACACTGGAAAACCAAAGTCATATCAAGAGAAGGGCCTTTGGATCACGTTGTTTATCTTGCTGTCTTTTCTTTAACAGAGCATAATTCGTGTAGTTTTCCATGATCGACGCCTGCAGTACACAGAGCATCAGCAGCTCGAGGGCTGGAGGTGGAGTCGGCCTGGGGACCGCATTCTTGATATAGGTGAGACTATTTCATTATGGTTCCTGTGCAGTGTTTGGAAACAAGATGCTGAATGATGTATGGAGTGTTTGCATGTGTGTTGAGGTTTTTTTATCGCCTGCTCTCTTAGGAATCCTGTATGTCTTTGGGTGGGAAGGAGATCTAGCACTGTAGGTCCCAAATAGATATATCATTGGTGGCTTCGCTTTTCACATGCATCTTGTAATTGTATGGAAATGCTTTCTCTTCTTCAATTTAATATTTTTAAAATTTTAGGGGTTTTCTTCTACAGATATTCCGCTGTCAGTTGGTATCTTGGATCCCAGAGCAAGCCCAACCCAGTTGAACACTGTTGAATTTCTGTGGGATCCATCAAAGAGAGCCTCAGCATTCATTCAGGTGAGAGAAGTGATATTTCTGTGATAAATACAATGGTGAGATATCTTATAAAGGTCTGGAGAGCTATGGCAGCCAGGATGCAAAGAGAGAAAGATGCTAATGACAATATACAAACTCAAGTGACAATCACATATAATGAATTTGTAGGATACTCGCTAAACCAACTTGCTGGCTACTTGCTAGCTTTGGAGTACTACCTGCTATAGCTAGGATTTTCTTTTTTTTAAAAAAAATGGTGTTGTTTTCTAAGCATGGGTTTTGTCTGGAGGAAACTGTTCACAACCTGTTAGTTTTTCTTGTATTTCCATTTCATGAGTATTTCTTGTCTGAAATGCCAACTATCTGTTTTTTAATCTGTATGTGGGATTTACTTAAGTCAAAGGATGCTTTTCCTGATGCTCTGTTTCTTTCTGGGATGCTTGTTCTAATTGTTTTGTCCTGATGAACAGAAAAGAAAACATATTAACTCTTCTGCCTGAGTTTCTCAGGAGAAGCCAAAATTAATGCTCAGGCAAAATCTGAAATTCAGATTTTCAAAGCTGCCAACTGTCTCCAGAGATGAGCACAGCTTTTGTTTTACCAGGTACATTGCATCAGTACAGAATTTACTCCACGGAAGCATGGAGGAGAGAAAGGGGTACCCTTCCGGGTGCAAATCGACACCTTTAAGCAGAATGAAAACGGGGAATATACAGAACACTTGCATTCTGCAAGCTGCCAGATCAAAGTGTTCAAGGTATGAGGTAGTTTTGGCTTTGTCATTAACTAGATTTAAGACACAGGAACATGCTCAGTTTTTAAATTGTTTAGGAGTGGTGTAAACAGTGGAGTAAAAGAACAGACTTCTAACTGGGTATGCTTAAGATCTTAAACAGGGCTCTTGCACACAAAGTGACATAAACACTGAACTGCACAGCAATTCTAGTTAAATTCAAATGACCCAAGGGCTGCACCAAGACTTAGGCTAGTCCATTGTGTCTTGAACACTATACAAAACCAGGGTTATTTAGGGTATTCACTCTGTTCTGATGCTCCTATGCAATGAAGATACTACAGCATCTCCAGTTTCTTTGATTCAATCCTTCATGAACAATGAGAGTGTATCTTGGAGATTTTAATTTTTAATGCCTTTTGCTTGTTGCAGCAGATTCCTTCTCCGTGCTACCTGGGGGAGAGAAGGATTCAGAGAGAAAAGCATCTCTGAAGCTCCTTATCTGGGCACGGCAGACCTGTAGCCACTTAAGAAGAAGCTTTTTGTAGGCCTGTTTTCTCAAAGGATCTGCTGCTCCAGCTTTGCTCCTGTGAGCAGTGTCTTCTCTGTTCCTGGAGAGATGTTACAAATACTGGTTGAGGTGCATAACTCGTGGGACTCATGGTCTGAAATAGTTGATAGCAAATCTCAGGACTGTGGTCAGCTTATTTTGGAACTGCAATAGGCATTAATGGAGGATGCTACAGAAACAGTAGAGATGCTTAACTATTTTTTTTTCTCTAGAAAATGCAGATCTCATCTTGTTCCATATGTAGAGTTCCCATAAATCTTAAGGAGACTTTTGTGAACAGATTAGAAAAAAATCTGTTGGCCTCTGTCTCCAGACTTGTAATGCTTGGCATAAGGGAAAGCTTGTGCTTGTGCTTATAGCCTAAAGGAGCAGACAGAAAACAGAAGACTGACAGGGAAAAAATGGAGAAGAAGACCACCCAAGAGAAGGAGAAGTATCAGCCTTCCTATGAGACAACTATTCTCACAGAGGTAAAGTGTTTTAGACATGTCATACTACTTCAGCATGTTAGGAGATAGATTTGAGAGAAAATGCAATTTAACTGATCCCTGGAGATTGCCTTGTTGAGACATATATGCTCAGATCTGATTGAAATTGAAAATGGAGTGAAATTGTAAAATGTCTCTCACTGTTGAAGTTTATAAAAGATGCCAAAGTTTCTTATGTTTCAGGGTATAAAACAATCCTTAACAGCCTAGCTTTAAAGAATTGTTTTTTCTGTCTTCTGCTTTCTCCTGGGCACTTGTCATGGCACTTAGATGCCAGTTGTATAAGATATTTTCTTCAGAAAAACAATTTTTTTCTCATATTGGAGATGCAGATGAATAGGCTGTCTGATTAAATTATTAATTTGTTTTCCTGTGAAGATACTATTACATACAAGATCTCAGAAGATTGTTGCTTGTACTCTAGGAATATCTTGAATGTCTTGTATTCTGATGCATTTGGTGTAGAGATGCATGTGTTTCTACCTTCCTTGCCATTACTGAGATGTGTATATATAAGGTTACCAAAGGCTACAGAATTACTAAGCAACAGGACTCAAGACGGTGGTTTAATCTCCCTATGGGAATGTCCTGTTTGATTTAGTTCTTGTTTTTTTGAAGTGGCTTTCTGGACTTCTAAAAAATGAGGGTTTTTTTCTTAATTTTAGTAAACTTCCTGTTTGTGAGATCCAGTCCCTCCCACTCAATTTTCCTCATGTTGCCAGGAGCGACCAGCATGTTTTCTAATTCAGCGTGGTGGTTGTTAACAAGGCTCTTGTGTACAGAGACCTAATTCTACTGAGTTGACAGATCCCAAACTCTCCCTATGAGCCTTGATGCACTTTGACATGTTGCATGGGGAAATATGGGTTGCCAAAGAGCTAAATATTTGCTAGTGCTTGTGGAGATGATAAAATATTTGCTAGTATTTGTGGAGATGATAAAACTCCAAAGCTACCCTTGTTGTCTTTTATCATTGCAAACAAGGATACTACAGAGCATTTTCTTGAGCTCTTGATGGCAGGGGATTCCACAGGGCTAGATTCCTCCTTCTGATTACAGTGGCTTAAATTCAGAACAAAGTCACCGATTCTAGTTGAGTTACTCTGGTTTTACACTACTGTAATGGAATATGAAGTTTGACCTACATTGTGAAGGCTTTCGTAGCTTTGTGTCTGTCTGTATCTTAAATTTTCTCCATGTAAAACCCATTTATAACTCAAGCTCTTCAACTAATAGCCAGAGGTTTTAGCAGGCTGGTTCAAATTCTGATCTTTCACTGGTATAAACCTGAAGCAGTGCCACTGGAGTGTATTTGTCAATCTTGCCTGGATTTAATTAGGGATTTATAATTGAGACCAGGGGTATTTCTGTATCGTTGCTGCCTTCAGTCTGAGTTGACTTACTGGCGTTGCTCTGACTTACAGCTGTGCACACTTTGGCCCAGTGTTATTTGGGGACAGGCTTTGTGAAATGGGAGAAATGTGGAATGCACAACTGGAATCAATCTGGCCCCCTGACAGCCCACTTGGAGAGCAGTGTAGAAAATCCATGGCCCGTCTCCTCCTCCCAGCAGGAGCGATGAGCTGAAGTTAGTGGCGTGGCAACAGCATGAATGTGGTATGAGAGGAGAATCGAATCCTTTATTTCCATCCTTATGAAAGTATCCCCACTGCCTTTCTTCCAACAGTGCTCTCCCTGGCCAGATGTGCCTTATCAAATGAACAATGCTCCATCTCCAAGCTACAACAGTTCTCCCAACAGCTTCAACCTTGGAGATGGGTATGTAACAAATAAATGCTTTATCTTTCCTGTTGACATGGTAGCCTTTGTGTGCATGTGGTTTGTGTGTCCCATGTATTTCATACCCTGGAAGAAGAGGTCAAGAACTTCCTAGAAAGGGAAAAATATTTCCCACACAAAGCCTTTTAAGATCTTCCATCCAGGAACGCCCTGTAGTGCAGGGTGCTGTTTGTATGTCCACTGCTTGGGCGGTGCCTGGGAGGTGAGCATCAGAGGATCACCAGGGCAATTCCTGTCCTGGATTTCCTCTCTTACTCTCTGTGGGGGTCAGAGAACACACCATTCCCTGTATCAGCAGTTCCCAGTATCTTCTGGCAAGAGTGTTGGAGGCTTTCAGACTTCAGCACCTCTTCAGAGTTGGTATTTCTTCCTTCTCAAGACAGAAAGTCTTGAGGTAGCTTGGGGTGATGAATTCCTAGGTGAACGGGATGTAAAGAAATCCTGTCTGGGGCGAAACAGCCTGGCTTTTGAGAAGCCTTCCCAGAACAAAGGACTAACAGGAGGCATGTTTAATCCATTAATATAGCCGTCATAAGGAAACAGTTTTAGTGGTCTTGAAACACCCAAGAAGATAGCTGATGACAGAAATATACAGCGGGGTCCCTCAGTACTTCTCAGTCCTCCCTGCAACATACTTTCCCCTAGGAATTTGGCATAGGCCTTTGCTTTCTTCCTCTAGGACTCTGCAGCCTTGTTGCCTTCCCACAGAGCTTATTAATCAATGTTTTAATCAAACTTTCAATGAACGAGCTCAACCTATGAATAAGGACAAATACTGAAACGACAAAAATTGGTGTTAGTAGAGAGATCTGTTGAGCATTTTCTTCCAGTGGTAGATTATTAACCCTTTGGGAAAAATCATTGATGTGTTGAAGTCCTGTCTATGTTAGGAGGGCTTAGTAGAAGCATGGTTTAGTGTAATATAGTTAAATTGCAGTTTACTATGTTTAAGGTAATACCAGGGTTGAATTATAATTTTTGTGAGGAAACATTATTAGACAGTGGATTTAGTTAGGGGATTTCTGGCTCATAGAAATTTTGAGTTCAGCCACCCTGTAGGTCACAACTTCTTTGCTTAGATGGTGTCAAATTAGCAAGTCACCCCTATGGAAAAGTTTGAATGAGGTCAGTAAACCTCAGTTTCTTTCAGTGTTGAGTGGGACCTCAACTGACTAACAAAAAGCTCAAGTAGAGGTTTGTTTTTTTTTTTTCCTTGGTCCAGATTTTGGACACCTTTTTATGATTCTGATAGAGAAAAAAAGCCAAGTTGGCTTGTAACTTCTGACAGTTGACTCATATGGAGGAGGGGGAAGAGGATGGACACTGCAGTGTAAATTTTAAAATAATGGTGTTTTTTTTCTTCCAACTTTACATAATTTTTTTTTTAGCAACAGTTCTCCAACCCACCAAGTGGAGCTCCTGCCTCCCAGCAACGATGTAAGTACATGAGATCATGTTAATGTGGTGCTTTTCTTTTTTAGGACACTGGTGAACAGTTCATTTCAAGACCTTCTTATTCTTTTTGCAATGTAGCATCTCCTTCCTTCTGCTTCTATTCAAGATGCCCAGCAGTGGCTTCATCGTAATAGGTTCTCTCCATTCTGTAGACTCTTCTCAAGTTTTTCGGGTGAGTTTGAACAGTCCAATTATTTTGTTTTTATTCTCTTTCATAAGTGCAGCTCATGCTTCATATCAATAGCATCTGCTGCTGGCGACTGTTGATGGGATCATTTCTCTGATACAGTGCGGTTGTTCTTTTGTTCTTAGGTTAGTTAGCATTTGCCAAAACAGTTTGTAGAAGTACAGAATAAGTAAAGACAGAAGAGCAAGTTGAGATGGAAGGGACTTATTGAGTTCACTAGGTGCAGCCCCCTGCTTGAAGTAAGTTCAGGGCCTTGTACAGTTCTGTTTGGGTATCTCCAAGGTTGGAAATTCCACAGTCTCTCTAAGCAATCTCTTGAAACACTTGACTACTCACACAGTGAAAAAGTATTTCCTTATATCTAATCAGTGTTTCCCATCTTCCGTCTTCTGTCTGTTGCTTCTCATCCTGTCCCTGTACACCTTTGAGAAGAGTCTGACTCCACCTGCAGCTCCATCTTCACTGTGCCCTCCCATTAGGTAGTTGTACACAGCAATAAGATGCTGGAAGGGGGAATTGTTAAAGATATTGAAACCTTGACTTGCAACACGATTAAATAACCTGGTGAACATGGCAGTCAAGAGAAAATCGGGCCATTTAGTGGCCAATGTTACATATCTAGTTTAAACTGTGAGTTGGCTAGAATATCTTCCAGTGCAGCACTGCTCTTTTGCAGCTTTTAGTTCTGTTTCACAGTGATTGATTTGCAGTGTACCCCCCTCTGAATTTGCAACTTCTCTAGGCAAATCTGCCTGATTTAGCTTTGTGGATTCTCTCCCCCTGCCCTTCCCTGTTGCTGCCTATACACACAATTTGGAAGCTAAGATTTGCTTAACTTCTGAAAAAAAATCAATTTGAAATATGTAGGTGCTGACTTACTGAAGATGTCCAAAGAAGATTTTGTTCAAATCTGTGGGCCTGCTGATGGAATTCGGCTCTTTAATGCAATCAAAGGAAGGTTTGTACTACTTCCTTCCTATTTTTTTGTTATGGCAGCATTCCTTGGTTATTTCAGTGTTAATTTAGAAGTTAATCCTAGACCTGTAGCATTTAGACTTACTTTTAACACTTCAGAGAGGTCATCTCAGGGGCTGGTGATCAAGATGATAATCAAATCCAAGCACAGCTCAAAAATGTTGCCAAAATATAGCAGCAAAATATGGTTCTCCAGTGGGTTATTTGCTACCAGCTGATATTTTTCATCCACTCCGTATGAGACACAGCCTACAATACCCTGTATTTCATCTGCATCACAGCTAACAAGCAATCCAACCAACCCCCTGGAGCCTCAAATGACTTAAACTTACTTATTGCAATAACATCACAAATTCTACAACAAAGCAGGATTCACATCAGTAAAGGCAGGTATGATGAGCTGCTTGGCAAGTGCTATAAACTGTTTATTCTTATCCGATCCTGGAGAGATTAAGGTGCTCTGCACTGTACCACCATCTCCTAGGGGGCTCTTACTAGACTTCCTAAGACATCTAGTCATCTGCATCAAGACTATCCCTTAGCTGGTTATTTATGCACAGCCTGAATTATTCCATCTCTCATTATTTGATAGCTGACTAGAACAATTTTAGATCTACTAAATAATTGACTACTTTTTTAATAATCCATAGAAATGTAAGGCCCAAGATGACAATTTATGTCTGTCAAGAACCGGAGCAAAACAGGTCCCATCTCCACCAAAAACGAGAAAATGGAGATTGCAGTCTTTGTGGTAAGTGTTTATGCATGGGTTGTGTTAAACACTTACCTGGTGAGAATGTGGCTTTCTGCCTGAGCTCCTGCATGAGACACCTTGGTGTCCTGAATGTTTAAAGAGGTCCTGTTTATCCCAGTTCTGCCACTTTGATTAGTTTCAGGGCTACAGCTTTCAACTGGTACCATCTGCCTGGGGAAGAGACCCGATTTACAATCTGTCTGCAGAATGCCACAGCAAAATCTCTGTTCAGTTCTTAATAGGGACCACAGCATTAAGAACTACCATCCATAGTGTGCTTTAGATTATGTCTTGTTTTAAATATATTCTGGGAAATGGAAGGTTCGTATGTCTTAAAGTGAGGTTCTAATTCTTGGAAGTTCAAAGCTTTGGGGACTCACTGCTCTTAGCAATCCCTCATGACATAACATGTGATCAAATGAGAGTAGTGATTGTCCTTAGTCCTTGCACATAGCTTTAACAAGGCACAGCTTTTCTACCTTTTTTTTTTTTTTTTCCTACCCTTTGTATCGAATTTTAAAAATATTGCTGTCATCTAGGGTTATTTGATACATTGTAGTCTTTACCTGTGGGATCAGTGGGATAACATCTAATAAAAAGTTACTTTTGTGTAACATAATATCAGGTGTGTTACTATTTAATAGGACCTACTTTAAAATGTCAAAATCAATAAAAGTAGATTATCCAAAAATATTAACGTCTTTGAGAGGGTTTTTTAAGTGCCCCATGATACATTAGTCCCTGTCTTTTCCTCTGAGCAGAAGTGAGGTGTGCTTTATTTACCTGCTGCATCCTAATACTGGGTATTTTTCTACCAATCATCAAGCTGGATATTTGGGGGCTGCTTTAAAGGTACTAAGCTTGTTTAGCTACTGTCAAGATTCGAACCTTGATCTTAAGCCCGTTTGGTTGTTGATATTGAGCATCTTTGTGTTACCTGTAATTGCTGTTCTATAATTATGCTGTAATTCTGTAATTACTTCCAACTTGTTGCAGTATATCATGCAATCTTCTTGGAGGAATTGACCACACTGGAATTAATTGAGAAGATTGCGAACTTGTACAGCATATCTCCACAGCAGATAAATCGAATCTATCGTCAGGGACCCACAGGGATCCATGTATTAGTGAGCAATGAGGTAAGGGGTTAATGCAGACTCTCAGAGCTCTAACAGTTGTCTAACTTGTTGGAGTTAAAATGACCTTTTAAAGTTAAAATGACCTTTTAAATTATGGAATGAATCTTCAAGGAAGGTTTGCAAGGCTACTAATCACAACAAAGTTAAAGTAAATAGTTAATGCAAATCATTCATGCATACCATTGCTTGTGGTGTGGTTTTAAGATCTTTGCTTTGTAAAAGAGTTTTTGTTTTAAACAAAACACAACAAAATCAGTCGTTTCCTTCTCCTGTTGGCTACTTAATTTTTAAAGTGAGGATCTAAATTGAGAACATTTAAAATTAAATAAGAAAGTTTCCTAAAGAAGGCAAGTTTGAAAAATACATAGGGCGATTAGTCTTACATCTTGGCCAGTGATTCAGCCACTGGGTCAGAGTCAGTGCTGGGTAAGTGTGCACTATAATTTAATGGGCCTCTGCCAGCTCTTTGTGTCCCATTATATGATGGCTTAATTTAGTCCATTCCATTAACTTGCAGGTTAATAGTGAGTTGCCCTTCTTTCTCTTTCCCCCCACTAAATTACTTACTCATTCATGCACCAGAATCACTTAAGGAGCTTCATTTGTAAGAAACATTGTTAAAACAAATGAAGCAGAGCATAGGTCTCAACTGGAGCCTAAATTGAAGGCTGTAATGCTTATTCCTAAAGTCTCCTTGCTATTTCAGCCTGATTAAATCTGAAACTATGATGCTTTATGGATATAAAGTGCTCGGAGGCAACTCTTGGTAGGGGAATTGCCTTGAACCAGCTTGAGTATAAGGTTTTAAGTATTTATTTAAGTCAATTATTAACAACTTCTATTGCTTTTTTAAATATTTTTTTCTTGTTCTAGTACTAGTGGCAAGAGTGAGGAACTCTATGAATGTACTTCATGCATCATTAGGCACAGACACACAGACTGGCCAGTGAAGTTTGATTTGTGGGAGCAGGGGGTGAATGCTAAACGCAAAAGGGAATAGGGAGATTAGTCTAAGTTGAAAAGGATATTTGGTGTGAGAATTTGCAGCTAGAAAGTATTCTACTTGAATGATATTCAATAGCTATGAAAAAGCTTTTGATTAAAGCTGCATTTTCTGAGCTGATCAGAGAGGTTCTGGTCACCTCCCCTCTGAAGTTAGGTGTTCAGCATCTGCTTCAACTGAATGAGACACTTCCTGAAGGTAATTCACCTCCTGTGTCCCACACAGCTACTCTAAGGTGGGGGAAAAGCACTGACTAAGGGTGAAGCTTAAATGAGCATTTCAGATTGGATCTGAAGGGAGCTGAATCTCTTAACTCACCCCTTTAGTTAGGGACCTCACTAGAACCTGCACGTGTTCTGACAATCTTGTTTCTCATGAATAACTCAAATAGCTTTAGATACTAATCTTGTAAGGTCTGCCTTGCCTCTCATAGCAGTTTCATTAAGATTCCTGTGCATTGACAAAATACAAACAGGTAAATGATTACTGTAAGCACAGCATCTGTAGTAATGTCAAAATAACTGGGTGGACGCTGCTGAGATGGCTTTTCAGTAGCAATATTCCTTTATTCAGTGAGGAGTCCGTTTCTCTAGATATTTTTTCAGATACCAATGTAAGCTCAACTGAGCTTCATCGTTCAGCTGAATGTGTATTACCATTGTTAGATTTTTAGGAGAGGGACTGTCTTCATCCAGTCTAAACTATTGTAGCTTCACTGAAGGTAATTAAAAGCATGGTCTTTAATAGACTAATTGGAGCAGTGTAAGAACTTGCAGGATCAAGAGCTGCAAAGAGGATGGTAAAATGCTGAAGAAGCTAGACCAGTTATAGGCAATTGCCTTAGTATGAGCTTCTCTTAAGTACATTAGCAGCTGCAAGGGCCGTAATCAGTCATGTACTTTAATAATCTTATGGGCAGAGTTACTCAGGACTTTGTTGGACTAGACACCAAATGTTGTTTGATACCTCTCCTCTGTAGTTGCACTGAATGAAACTCGAATTTAATTGCTTAAAATATTTGTGTTGTTTTTTTTCCTTCTGCCCTTCAGATGGTGCAAAATTTCCAAGATGAATCTTGTTTTGTTATCAGCACATTAAAAGGTATGTATTGCTACTGTTATTATCTGTGGCTCTAAAGATAATTTCTCTTTTCAAATGCACTAAACATTATCATAAATTGGGTGCTGTTATCCTGAAAAGATAAGTGATCTAATTTAGTGCAAGTCAAGATGTTGCATCAGCTTACACTATGGTAGACTGATTGATCTATGTTTTTCTCTGTTACACTGTTATAAAACTTTCATAAATCCATTGATACCACTGACATAAATGAGCAGAAGACCTAGTAAAATGATAAAAGATGACAGTTAGTATGTTGTGGTTTTTTATGTAAATGCTTTGACCTAAAATGTTCAACTTTGGTTTTCATAAGTGGGTTGTGGAAAAGAGTACAAAGTAGTGCAAACTACCTAAGAAGAAAATCTATAGAGTTCTGTATCTGTGCTGTCTTGTAAAAGCAATGAAAAAATGCTTTGCATTTCTTTGTTACAGCTGAAAGCAATGATGGCTACCACATCATTTTAAAATGACCATGCTGCATAGAAAGACTTTAACAGCCTAAAATTTAGTGCCTCACTGAGATTGCTACAACCTAGACTGGAAACATGAAGAACCCTCGGATAAAATGCTCCTGTGAACTAAGAATTACCAAACAGCTTAAGGAAAAATTTGCTTTTACAGATACACATTTTTTGGTGGTGTGTGGTTTTGTTTTTGTTTTTTTGAAGCTGGAGCTGAGAACATCCTCAAAGCTTGTACATGTTTCTTCCTCCCTCCCTTCCTCTTCAGTCTTAAAAATTGCTGAGGTTTCTGCTCATTACTTAGAAACATCTGCCTTGTACTAAAGGGAAATGAAAGATAAACAAAACCCAATTTTCTAGACCCCTCATGGTTGGGTGAATTGATTTATTTACTGTTCTGAGTGCTCTCTTGCTTTCAACACACACCCTGTTGCTGATGGACATAGGCTCCCTGAGGGTCCTCTTTTTGAGGTGGAAGACCTGGGGCTACATCCAAAACCAGATTGGGCAATGCAGAGGATGGATTTGGTGCTCAGTCCTCACCCAGAGTGTCAACCCTGGAAGCCCGCTCCTAGCTGTTCTTCACCTGTAGACATGCTCAGAGCCCAGAGACCTTGGGCCCTCCTGACAGAGCTTCTGTAATACCCATCCAACAGAACAGTTTTTCAGGGTTCAGGGGAGGACAGACAACCTGAGGCAAACAGTTCAGTACCGTATTATATTTTTAGCTTTAGAGTAGTCTCTCTGAATGGAGTATGTGAAGGTTTTCTGAGGAAATGTTTTGAATGTTGAAAGTTATAGAACTCATGACTAATTCGTACTATGGATTTATTCTACTCTACAAAGCGTTGATTAACTTCTATCTTTACTGTAACTGGGATTAGGTTTTACAATCCTAATGTTTTTTCCTTCTGTTACTCACCAAAGTGAAGCTTTTGATTGAGTCCAGGTAACAGATCATCTTAGTTGGTGCTTCTTATATTCTTGCTATTTCACTCTTGACTCCTGTTTCCAATATCTGCAACTATGGTCAACTCCACCCTCCCTTGATGTTTTGGGATGACATCCAGGCTCCACTAAGCTGAAAAAGTGGCTTCCACTGATGTCAAAGGCAAACTGGATCACACCCTTCTTGCATGGATGGAGTAATTTCAATTTTGGCAGCTAATTAATACGTGTTTCCCAAACCAAATGTCTACATAGCATCAAATTCTGATACTTGAACATTAAATTTCATCCTGAATTGAGATGGAAAGCTGAAATACAGAAAATTTTCCTGGAATGGAAATTTTTCAAAAAAATGAGAAATTGTCAGCTGGAAAATGCTGAATAAAATGTTCTAGCCTTTTGAAATGGAAACATTTAATTAAATCCATTTGGCCCTTAAAGCAGCATCAGTTTGAGCTACTGTTGCAGACCTCAGAAATTACCATTCAAGTGCCTTGTGCGCCATGTCTCCCTTGGGGCTGATCTCTTTGGCTGGGTTACAGATCCCATGATGCTCTTACCGTGGGTTAGTCAAAGGGGGAATGCGTCATGAAGGCTGGAAGGGTGCCCAGGAACCCAGCCTTCTGGGAAAGAGGGGGACATGGAGCCCGTGAATTACAGCTCCCAGCTGACACTGGAGGAATTCAGGCAGACACGGACTGATATTTTTCTGACAAAAACGATGTGTTTCAAGCTTTCCCAACAGAAATAAACAGCAAAATATTGAGAAAAGCAACCTTTTTTTCATTAAAAGCATCGTTTTGCGCAAAAAAACCCACCCATCCCCACCGATTTTTTTTCTTTACACCAAAAATAATACTAGAATAGAAAAATCATGTTACAATGGGAAAACCTTCAGCCAACTCAGCTAATTGAGTAACAGTGCCTACTTGGGCATGATCTTGCTCAACTGACTGTCCTGGATGTCCATGAATTGTAGTGTTTCACCAAAAAGGATGCCCAGGCTTTGGGACACAGTGATTCCTCCCCCCTGAAGTGAAGGATTTTGAGGCTTCTTGGTTGGAGACCAGGTTATGTAGGGGACAAGGTTGTCTCCTGACACACAGGGTGAGCTTTAGGGGAAGAAATGACTTGTGAAGGATGGGAAATGCTGTCTTCTTGAAAGGAAGGTGAAACCATGGCAAGCTTGACCCTGCCTCGGTGCCTGTGTCCTCTGCTCTGTATGGCTGCGCACAGGGAGCGGGACAGCTGGGGAGGCCCTGAGCACTGAGGCATACAGGTGGTGGCCACACAGTTACAGCTGCCTTCCAAATCAGGGAATCAACTCCAGCTGTTTTTTGTGAGTAGGTGGGACCAACACGCTCCTGTTGGTTTATTTTGTGGAAAGTGCTTTGGAAGATGTACATTGACTGTGCTTTTTCATCCTCTTTTATAATACTGGCCCAGTGTATTGGCATGGCTGTTGTTGGTGTGCAGCTTGGAGTGGTGAATCTGACCTGGTGAGAAGGGTTTAAATAAGACCTCGGAGTTGCCAGGAGTGTAGCCTGTACTGCATCCACTTACATGTGACAGCCCTGTAATTCAGGGGACAGCAATACTGAAACACAGCAGCGTGAAGAAAGGATAGAGGTAACTTTGCTCCCAGACTTACAGACTAAGATCTGTTTGCTTATTTTAAAAAAATATAACTTGTTCTTGATTAGTTAAAAGACGAATCTTGGTCGTAAGGAATCATATGCACTTGCTTGATTAATTTTGAACAAAATAACTCTCCATTACGGCCTTGTTATATTTAGATTTTCAAAAATAAAAAAATGCATATGAGGATGAATTTGATACTCTATCTTCTCCTTTTCATGCTGTAAGGAGGTATGCCAGAGTAAACAATTGCATAGATTATAAATATTGTCCTATTGGGTGTGCTCTACTGTTGTATCTATGTTAGCTTGTTCGTAAAGCTGTATGACTTCAATATGTGTGTAAGGCCTGTGCTTACTTAACAGAGTAGTTCTAGTCCTTGTTGAACCTCTGTAGTCCCAGCAGAAATTTGGAGGAATTGTGGTCAAGTAACATACACGCCCATGAAGACACAGCACAGCTAGTTTGATGTCTAGGAGAATGTCAAGTTACTTCAACTTAAAATCATAGAATGTCTCAAGATCATGGAGTCCAACTCCTTGCAGGACCACCTAAAACTAAACCATATGATTAAGAGCATTGTCCAGACATTCCTTAAACTCTTGACAGACAGGCTTGATGCTGTGACCACTTCCCTGGGGAGCCTGTTCCAGTGACCAGCTGTCCTCTTGGTGAAGAAATCCAGCCTGAACTTTCCCTGATGCAGCTTCATTCCATTCCCTCTTGTCCTATCTCTGCTCAACAGAGGGAGATCATCACCTCCCCCTCTACTGCCTCCCTTGAGGAAGGTGTAGACTGGGATGCATCTCTGGGTGTTAGGAAATGTTGCACACTTTGCCCTTGTTGCATGATGCTGTGTAACCAACCAGTTCTTGTATGTGGGCAAACTGGCCATGAACCATTGTGGCTGAGCAACTAGGACAAGTGGTCAGAGCAACATTGGTGTGAGATTGGACTGCCTGATGAACTCTCCACTCCGCCTTCCAAAAATATAAAAGCAAATCCTTGCCCTGTTGAGGTTGATGAATTTGTCCATGCAGGAACCAAGCAAAAGCCTTCAGGATTTATGGTAGGGATTTATGTGAGGAGTGAGAAAGACAGACTTGTCTCGCCGAAGTGGCAGGTAAATCTTAGGCTCCCTGTGGTTACAGAGGGTCTGCCATCCCTGGAGAGACTCATTTGCCCTGTTTGAGGATTAAGCCTCCAGAACGAAGGCTGTTTCCTTGACTGGAGGAAGCAAAAATTATTAGTCTGGACTAGATGTCTAAATTCTAGATAGACTAAAGGCAAGGGAGACGAGTAGCTCCCCCTCATCTAAATATTCAAAAAAACTTTTGCATTTGCTTTGCTCTTAAGTGCCTGTTACGTTTATTCTTGCTTGTTTGTTGTTGTTGCTCTTTTTTTTTTTTTTTTTTTTTTTTTTAAAGTAACAAATGAAACTTCCTGCTCAATTTAAATTTAAATGAGACTTTTTTTCAGCTCTACATGTGGAAATTGTATAGCAGACCTTTATAAGGTCTGGGTTTTAGGATTACATTGAATAATATGGTATCCCAAACTGTCCAGCTCTTAGGTTGTATGTATGATGACAGCCCCTCTGAGTAGAAGTGGGCTTGCTGGGAATGAAAAGGCAGAACCATTACATAATTAAAAACCATATGACTCCAGCTAGTACAGCAAAATATAAACCTGGGTTCTCCTCAGATCTGTACTGGCTGTTTGAAATTGCTTCATAAATTGTGGCATTTTTTCTGACAACTGAGTAAATTGATACAGATCAGTTAGTATGACTCTAGGGATGGTCTGAGAACTCATAGATACACAACTGCAGGGCAAAGGAAGGGGCAAAGGATCTGGTGATAGAAATTTGTGCCATCTGCCTGAAGTGGCAGGACTGGTGTTATTAAAATTAAAGCTCCTGTTATTTCAGCTGGGCCTGCTTGGTTAGTGGACTAAAACAGAAGTAACAAATCAATCTGGAAAGTATTTGGAGTTCTCATTGTCTTGGTGTGAAATTTAATGGGCTGGAGTTTCAAGACTTGGAGGTGGTAAAAGGATTCTTACAGTTGAGAAGTCCTGAATGGCACTCTCCTTATAATGTAACATATACATATTTATGCGTATATATACACATACATACTGTACTGTATCAACACATATATGTGCTGAGTACTTGTGTTCTTTGGCTTTAACTGGTACTCTGCTTTGATTAATTGCAGTTCAATAGAAAAGACTCTGGCTGATCAAGCTTTGAAACCCAGGCATTCCTTGGGGTAGAAATGTAAAAGTCCATAATAGTGTCTCTAGGTGATTTGGACATGGTACACTTGGAGTGATGTAAATTTGATGAATTTCTGCAATATAAATCCCAGGCCTTGGTGAAGATGAGCATATTCTTGCACTAACACTGCAGTTCTATATTGCAGCTTCTGAAATTTAGTTAGAGTAAAAGAGAAATAGATTGCTCAACGCTTTGTAAAGTAGTAAGAGCTACTCCCTAAGCAGAACAACCATACAATGACTTTTGTAGCTTGATGTTGTATTGCTTAAGCATTGGCTGTAATTCTAACAATCATCTGGTGGATGACTGGGACAGGTTTTTTTTTGTCTGTTTCTGTTTTTGGTTTTGACTGTTCTCAAAAAAATGCTTGTATTCAGACTGTAGCTTCTTTCTCCTCCAGTTATGAAATGATTTAACTTTATGCTACTAATAGAAACATTTTCTTAAGGTTATAATCTCTTTGACAGCACAGGGTACTCAAAGTGGGTAGTGTTTGTCCTTGATCATCACTACTGTGGGTGAATATGAGAAGGCAGACTGGACGTGTATCTTAACATCCTTGCCTCTCTAACAAATGGGTTGAGCTGGTGCCTGATTTTTTGTGCATTTCTGATTTGTACATTTATTTTTGACATTCACTCATAATTCTTCTGCTCCCTGTGGGGGGGATGCATTGGTGACCAGCTAGTGTGTCCAACTTTAAGTAGCCTGCTTGTCCTAGTTTGCTTGGGGTGAGTGTTTATCTTTCAAAGGGCTAGGGGAGTTACCTCTCTTCGCTGACAATGCAGCCGTTTGAGACAGGCGATGCTGACCACAAAGTCGGTGTGACAGGTGAGGGCGAGTAGAGGTGGGTCAATTGGAGGCTGAGGCATACCAGTTGTGAGTAAATACTGCCACACTCTTTTGTCTTTTCGTTTGTTGGTTTTTGGTTTTTTTGTACATGAATAAAAAAAAAAGCATATTTTGCACTGGCTCTTGTACTGTTGTGCAGAAGAAATCTGTATCTAGAATCTGTGCTCCAGTCAAAATGCAAATAAACCTGTTTGTAAGAAGCACGGGTTTCGTCTCTGCTTTGCTTGGCGTGGATGGGTACAGGAGAGCCTTGACATCATCTCCTCCTCAGCATGCAGCTGTAAGGTGCCGGGCACCCTCTCAAAAATCAGTGGGAACAGAGTTTGCAAAGTGCTGGTGAGAGAATAGCAGTTATAGCCAAATGTCCTGCAGCATTTTCTTTGCGTTGGGACTGACTTCATTTCTCTGCAGTACAATGCTGTGACCAGTTCATATTTAATCCAGGTCAAGGCATAAGGAGAAATGCCTGCTTCTTGCAGAAGCTGTGACAATGGGTGTATGCTTTAGTGAGAGCACAAGCTGTGTTAGATGACAGCTGGCTTTGGTCTTGCAGTGCTCAGAGGACACGGGCATTTCAGAGCCTGGTCCTCAGTGACATCAGAGATGAGCAAAAAGTCCTTCCTGGTAGCAATGCTCTGTCCTATATAGCAGCTGTTAGACACATGCTGGAGAAGAGGCAGTGAGGTTTGGACATGAAGCATTCACAATGGCTTGGCTGGAAGAACTTTATCCTCTAAGAGTTAAGCCATAGATCTAATAACATACATGTTCAGGAGATTTTCCTGTCGGAGAAGATGGAGCCCAGTTTGCAAATGATATCTTCCAGCAGCCAAACTTCATGTTAAGGTAAAGAAGAAGGAATGGATGTACTACCATATAAGGGTGCTGCTTAACTTGAATTGACCTCAAATTGAGCAATTTTGGCTCCTTTTTTTATGCTGAAGAAGTATTTGAGTCACAAAACCAGAAAATGCAGCATGTGCCCCTCTATATATCAGTTCATATGTAAAGTATAAGGGCACAGACACTATTCCTAGATGAAGGTAGATGAGAATTGATTATTTTTCACTACTGGTGACTCAGTCCCTTCCCTCTTCTCAGAGATGTCTATCTACCCTAATTTCTGTTAGCTTAAAGTTTCTCCAGAGGTAGCAGTCCAACTATCTGTAGCCTGATATTGTTGAAGAGTTCAACTGCTCTGTTGATGGTTAGGCAGCATCGTGTCTCAGGGCTGCTGGGATTGAATACGAATCCTTGAGCTTCAGCATAGGTTCAAATCCACTTACAGGGAGCTGGGCTGGCTGTACTGTGATGGCAGGATGCCAGTAGGCACTCAGAGGTTCAAGGCTGGCGTCTGGGCTCTTCAGGGCTGGTTGGAGGGTGCTGAGTGTGTGAGGCCACCGGCAACAAGTGCTTGGTGGCTGTATGAGCTCTGCCAGCTCAGGGGCCATCCTTGGGGCTTTCAGAAGGAGGGCAGGGAATCCCTCCCTGAGCCCCCCCAGGGTGTGGAGTGCCAGATGAGCATTGCCTGCATGGGTGGTTCCCACCATTCCATGCATCAATGCAAAATTATCCCTCTTTTCCTGTAAACCTGACCCATGTGCTGGCAGGGATTGGTAAATGCAAAAAGGAATACCAACCGGGAAGGTTTTTTTATCTAAAATTGCCTGATAAAAGGGGGTTAAGGACAGGGAAAGAGGTAATGCTGCACAATTTAGTTTCTATGAGAAACACACCAATAGAGAAGCTTATAAGGAAAAGGCCTCCTAGGGAACATACCCAGAAGTTGGCAGCAGCTGTAATTCAGACTGGACAGGAGCTGAAAAGAGCTTTTCATGATCAAGGAGAGCCAGGACCTAAGACTGGAGCTGCTTAGCCAAAGTGTGGCCTAATCTCATTTAAATCCTCAACAGCAAGCAAACATTTAAAAAATAATTTTCCAATTTACAAAACAATGCAGCCTTTCAGTTAAAAGGATTAGTCACAACTATGGAGCAGGCAGGGAAATAACATCCCTCATATTCTTTCTGTAAAGAAGCTAAATGCTTCCAGGCTTACCTGGGGAGGAAAGATTTGACACTGCAATAATTTGATTTTTTTAATATCTTACAGTAGAAGCTGGTTGTCCCAACAAATTGGGGTTTCAGACAAGTGTAGACTTCTCTGCTCCCCAAAGATGGGTAGCCCAGGGAAGAAGGGCAGTCACTGGGCTTTGGGATGCACTAGTCTCTCGCGTTTCAGGGAGGAACTAAGGTGCCAAGTGCTATGACTCTGTCTAGGAGAGCACAACAGACTGTAATGCCTGTCTTAGGTCATCACAGAAAAAACATAATTCTTCCTATTTCTTATAGAATAGTGATGTGAATCAGGCTCTACACTCAATATTATGCTACACTGGTAAGTTAGAACAACAAATAAAATCCACTTAGGAGCCTGTTAAGTAAAGACAACAAACAGAAAGCTGGAAGATAATAATGTTTTAAATAAAAGAAAATGAAGCAGTAAAATATGGTAAACTGGATAAAGTCCCCCCCAAGGTGAGGGGTGATCTTGGAGTACCAGATCACTGATGTCCTTATGCTGAGACTTAAAAAGCAGCATCTGTCTGCTCCCTGCTGTGGATGCGGATGCACATGACCCTGCTTTGTCGTTTTTGCTCTGAGGGTGCCTGATATATTAAAAGTTCTGCTTGTTATGAAAATACATACACTTTTTTCTTTTGCTATGTATTTTTTAAATCCTAAACTTTTCTGGTTTTGACTGTTGCTAATAGTGCTACAAATCATTTTGCAGCCTATAAAAACCTCAGTTCTGATTTCACTGATATTAAGTCATAAGCAAGTATGGTATAGCTGGAAAAAAGACTGATTAGCAGGAATCCAAAATTAGCTGAGCATATTAGTGCACTGAAATAATTTTCCAAGGGTGAAAATTTAAATGCTGAAGTTAAGACTACGCTTTAGAGGAGAGATGTGCTAGAAATATGTTGGATAGACTGAATCAGATGTGATTCTAGGAGGGATTTCTTCATAAAAACATTTTCAAATCTTAGTATCTCCCAGAAGAAAGAGTTCCTGAATGGTTGGCACCACTTTGGGAATTAAGATCTCCATGACATCACGTAATAGTTTAACCTGTGGTAGAAAAATCAGGGAAAAGTTGCGTGAAAAACTGAGCACATGATTTTATGCAGGAAGAAAAATGTGGTTGCAACTGTGTGGCTGGTGCAGCCCCGGAAAGGAAAGCTCAGTGCAAGAACATGGAAGGCCCATACGT